AGATGTATATGAACTGATGTAACAGACTGAAATAGGAAATGTAATTCTGAACCGATGTGATAGAATTAATGGGTTAAAGGATTGCTTTTAAGTGCATCTTTAAAACTGTCTAGAACCCAATTTCCAATCCCAGAGGGTTTATTCTCACTAATCACAGCTATTGTGATTTATTTTCTTTCTACTCTTCAGTTTTATTCCTGGAACCATCAGCAGCACAAACAGGATTTGGTTCTTTAAAAATTCTTATTTTCTCATCCTTAGTTCCGATGGCAGGCTAAGCAGAATTGTTCCTTGAGTTTATTTCCAGAATTACCCACCTATATCTGACCTTCAGGCCAGACACAGGATTGTGACAATTTATAATCTTGAAATGAGCACTGGTTTTAGTTTCTGAAAATCAGAATTGATGTCTTTATGGGCACATTTTGCAGTTACAGAGGCTTTCAGGTGCTCTGGATCCGCAGACAAAAAGAGCCCTGTGAATCAAAAATCAGCTTTAATGGTTTCACAGTGATCTCCTCAGCCCCAGGCTGCAACCTCACAGGGGAGCAGTTTTTTCCTAGACTGACTCTACTGAAACCCCACTAAATCTGGCTGTGTTTGTAAAGAGCCAGAGGATTTAATTCATGCTTTAGAAAATGACACTAATTARAAGAGATGAACTTCAGCGAAACAAAGATGCACTTCCTGTGTAAGCATCCTTGGAAATAAGCAGGTTTTAAAAAAAAGAGGTGATTAAGAACAGAAACATGATTTATAGTAAGAATTGTCCCTCAGCAGAATGCTTACACATATTTTCTGAGCTGCAGGAGGCTTTTAATACAGCAATTTGGCTCCTACACCAGCATAAATATTTCAAAGCATGCTTACTTCTTTCATGTTAACTCAATTTTTYTCCAAATCCTTCTGGAACCCACTTCTTCTAACTCACACTCCTTCCTTATTTCCTTACTTCTGGAAAATCTAACAAGGAATTTGTGAAAAACAACTGCTGCAGGCACAGCAAAACTCCCATAAATGTCTGACCCCATAGAAAGAAAAAATATTCWTTGTCAGTTGTAGCACTTTTCGCTGTGCTTGGGTATTTCAGACCAATTTCAAATATTTAAACATTCATCCATCAATTTTCAAACAGGAAATTATTAATCCTCACTAGAATATACATTAGGGTTTTTTTTCCCCTCCAAATTAAGACTCCCAAGTTATCTTTTGGTACTGAATGGATTGCTGGATGTATCTCTTAGAGATTCCCATAATACATTCTAACGCTTAAAGGTGTTTTATTTTGCTTCTCTTATTTATACTGAATTTGGAAGGGAAAAAAAAACAAACCAAACCAAAAAAAAAAAAATCAATGCCAAACAATCCAACACTTTTTTCGTTTACACTGAGTTTGCTCTATTTATGATTCAAGAAAACATACCAGAAATCAGGGGGTTTAAAGCAGGGAAGAAAAGGGCTCCTTTTTTGTTTAATCTCATGGAAAGGTTTAACGAAGTGCCTCTTTCTCTAAAWTTAATATTCTTTTTGGATTATTTCAGATAGGTTTCGTGCAGGTGTATTAGAAATGCAGTCTCCAGTGTGAATTACAGCTTCCAAAGGTTTTGYCTTCGAAGTCAAATTATCCTTGACAAATTAAGGTGCTACAGACATTTTGTGGAGCAACAGTGACATTTAGTGGTGACTGCAGCAATTCCTAAATTCTGTCGATCCTTTGACRTTTTGATGACTCTGGTAACATTTAGCATTTGCAGTCACCCTCTCTGAGATTCACACTTAATTTCCCCTTCCTTCTCTCCCCCTCCTTTTKTATTCTGTAATACAGTGCTTGTGAAGGGGTAAAAAGCTCTATTTCTGTAATAAATCAACCCAGATATTTTCAAAACAAAAGTTTTCGTTTTGAGGATCTTCCTCAAAACTCAACTCCTTCACATAACATGATAAAACATTTAATAATCACAGAAATTTTTCCTCATTTGAGAATCAGACTGAAGCGGTGCATTGCACAAATCAAACTGCAAGGATTAGTTTTCCATTATTTCTATTATTTCCCTCAATTTTTCATTTGKTATGGCAACATTCTGGCATCAAGCTAGGGTCATTCAGTTGTGGTTTTGCTTTGCCCCCAGCACAATCCAAGCCATGGCCAGCACAGGATGTACAGCAGCTTTAACAGCCACTGCAACGGTRCAAATTCAATTATTTTTCTTTAAAATAAAGTTTCTTTCTGATGTTGGTTTTAGCAAAACCTCAGCAGCTTGCCAAGAGTAGAAATGGTCAACACTGAGTGTGTGCAGCCAAAGGCTTCCACGCCAGAAGAACATTTTGGAGCCCACAAACCATTCCTCCCATCTCCTATTTTATATAGTTACATATATAGTTAGATAATATAGTTATCAAATATAGACCAATTGATATAGTCTCATTATATCAAAGCAGTTTCTGTGAAGGTTAATAGAGCATTGCATGTGGAATTGTGAAATTAGGCCTTAGAGCTCCTTTGGGATTTTAAGAATGAGATAAAGGAGTGATTCTTTTGTTTTATTTCACTCTGATTTCAGGGAATCCAGGTATGATAAGAAAGGAGAYCAGATTAGGCAATGATCATATGAAGTTTGTAAAGGGCTTTTGGCTCTGTTTGCAAACAGAATTATTTCATTTAGCCTGTTGACAGGGTCAGAGCCCTCCTGYTCTCACACCTCAGCCCTGCCTGTGCACTCCCCTCAAATCCCACCTCAAGTTTTCATTACCCACCCGAYATTTGGTGGCTACAATTAAGGCAGGAAATACAGTATAATATTATTCTAGTTTTCATTTTGGAATCTTGCTGATAACACAGCACAGTTGCAATCCTCATTATTATGTCAGGCTCACCCTCCCTTTCATTATTAATCATTGATTAACTGTGCAATGGGCCTGTATTCACTGTCCCCACCCTTGAAAATGAAAAGTTGTCTCACTGGCTCACAGACTGGGAGAAATCTTTGGAAAGCAAAACTTCCAGCTGTGYACTTGATTCCAGTAAATTTCCTGCAAATTTCCYGCAAACCCTTCTCTGTGCATCTGARTRAAARAAATAAAGTGAATTGTGTGAGGCACAACTGGTTACAGATCACGTGGGGTTGGAGATTCCTCTCAATTTATGTCTGAATATTTAATCAAAATATTACATCTAAATTTAACCCCATAAAATAAAAATAAAACCACAGGAACAACCAAGTGAAGAAGCAGCTATGTCACACAGCCCTAGCAATGAATGTCCCCACCAATGAGTGTCTCAGTCTGGAGAGAGCTCAGTGCCCCAGCCATGAGCAGCTGTGAAAGCACAGCACTGCAGCTTTTCCAGCCATGTACTGAACATTCACAATTCCTGAATTTAAAGAGATTTTTTAGGGGCCATTTTCTGTCCTGACCAAACTTCTCACCCTTAAAGAGCTTTAGAAGTGYTTTCTAKACACAMAGCAAGSAGTTTCTTTCRGGTAGYACCATAATTTCCYTTAGAATAACTCAACACTGTGTTTYATTATAGTGCCTATAACTAACTATTATTATAGTTATAATTTTATGTATTATAAATATATTATTTCTATTACAATATAAATTATATTTTATTACCCTCTGGTACTTTATTTTCTTCTGCCAGCCTTGTTCCCAGCTCGTGGTGCCACTGAAGGGCAGGGCAGGGACCYCAGGTCTGTCCAGACCATTCCCAGCAGCAGGAAGCTCCCAGCTGATGGATGCTGATCCATAAATACACAGAATTTTGCACTGCCCAACAAACCAGCTGCAGGATCAGAATCACYCCACTCACAACCAGCTCAGCCAAATTAACTCTTCAGCTGCTCCCCAGCAGCTTTGCAGTCACGTGCTCCAAAAAGAGCCTGGTTTTGAGCTGTGAGGAAGCAGGAATGAGAGCAGAGGTGTTCCCAGAGGTGTTTCCAATCCTGCCTCCCAAAAACATGGTTTTCCTCTCCCTCCACTCCCACACAGTGGTTTTGCAACGTTGGGAAATCCTTAAACAAGGGCTCTGCACGAACAACAAAGTCCTGGAGACACCTCCAGAAGACAAAGCTTCTACACACACTGGTCATTTCTGCACAGCTCCGAGCCTTCTCCTAATCAGAGGGAATTTGTCCCTCAGTGACTTGGTCCAGATAAATATTTTTCTAAATAATTCCCATTTATTTAGGTTCAACCACAACTTCAGCACATCACAAAACACAACATAAATAAACCAGCCCCAGGCCTTTGTGCCTTAGGAATATGAGGAAGGTTTCCTAGTACTTGGAAGCACCAGGATTTATCTTGTTTGGGGCTGAGAAGAAGAGGGAGCATTTACGGCGCTATGGAAAATTCCAAGGTGCTCTCTTGTCCTTATAGGGCCTGTGTTTAAGGCATGTAATCAGTCTGGTGAAACAGTGACCCCATCCAGCAGGAGCTGCACAGACCTGCAGGAGCTGCTGGCAGCACATCACCCGGGCACTCCCTGCACCTCCACCCTCCCAAACCGTGTTTGTGTCTCTCTGGCACCCTGCAGACAGGCACACAGCATTTTCCACGCCTGATTTCAGTGCCAGCATGGCTGGCTCGGGTCAGGCTCCCTGGCTGCCAGGRGAAACTCCTGAGCTGTGTAACAGGATGTGAATGTGGGAAAAACCTAAGAAAATGCCACTAAAAATCATCTGCTTCTTCCTCTGCACTCTGAGGGCACCAAATCTCACAGGTAAATGACTAAAATCTCTTCACTGACTTGAGAAGAAAAGAGTGAGGTTGTGAGTAACTAAACCTTTTGTCCTTTTGTTCAATATGCCTCTGCAGCACTTAAGCCAAACCATTCGAGGGCAGGTGAGCTTGAATTTTAACACTTTGTCTAAAATGAATATTAGAATAAGCAAGTGGAAAAAGCAATCTGTAAATGCTGCATCCTGCAGGTCAATTCTAAACTCCAGAGGTAAATTTCATTTTGAAGGAATTTAGGTAACACTGTATTTGTCTCTGCTCTTGCTGTTCTGTGAGAAGATGAACTCTCGAGTCATCCTTCAGTGCCGATCACTGAGCTCAGGGATGCTCTGCCGGTGAAGGGGATACAGGGTCAGACAGAAAGGATATAAAGTGCTAATTAAGGGCTCAAATCGCTTCACTGAGGGCCTCCTTTACCCTGGAAGGAGGTTGTGTAATTTATGATCTCTTTCTCCAAGAAAATGCTCAACACCACACACATGTCAGAGGAGTTTGGTCTCTGATCTCCTGACTACACTCCAGTGTTTGCCATGTGAGTCCTCTAAAAAGCAAGCATTGGGTTTCCTTGGGTTTTCCCTAGTTTGAGTTTTCCYGAGCCTGGGTTTTCTAAATATGCCATTTTAGGTTGTGTCAACAACATTCTGGCTGTCTCATGCTCCATTTTTTTTCCTCTGCCTCAGAAAAAAAAATTTCTTTTACAGCTTCCTCATTATTTATAGTTCTTAGATGCCAAGGGCAGATCCAGTGACAGCATCAAGTAGTTTCTGCTCAGAAAGTTTATTCTGTGCAATAGGGAAGATTAGGACAAATGTGGTTTAAAAGATGACAGAGGTGGGCAATGATTCTTTAAAGAAATCTCGGGTTGTTTTTGCTGTATTTTGTGTCAGGCCACCTGAGTGCTGTTGCCAGGCAGGAGCCCTGTTCCCTGCGTGGGCAGCCTCTCACACTGTGACAGACAGTGGGAGGGAAAGCTGGGATAACTCACACTGTGCCTGCCATTCTCTTGGCTTTGACCTGAAATACAAAAATCSATGTCCCAGTCTCCTTTCTGAGCAGAGACATTGATTTGGCTGAGTGTTGATGCCCTGAGCTGTCCCTGTGGCTGTGCAGAGCAGACTCCAGGATAGAGGACAGGGTGTTCCTGTCTAGCCCAGGARCCTGGGCTTTGATTCCTGGGTGCTGGGGACAGAAACAGCCAAGGGGGGTGTGCTGGGGTCTTGCCTTTTGCTGTGAGTTTGTGTCATCAGCAGCTGAGGGAGGGGATTGTCCCAGAGCCTGCAGGCCGGAGTTCCAGCCAAAGACACTTTACAATAATTAAGTATCCTTGTCTAAATGGCTGTTTCTAGGAGTTAGAGATGTATGGCTTTCRTTTTCAACATTGAGCTTACAAAGGATTTCCTATGTCTTCTCAGGATGTTATAGACATTATTTCCTTGTTAGCAGTATTTAGAATTCACAATTCCCCTGTCGGATTCCCCATCACTGAAATTCCCTCAGAGAGTCAGACCATGGTCCAAGGTACAAAAAGCTCGTGGCATTGTTGTCCTCGAGATTAGCAAAAAAAAGAAGATTAAATGATACAATGCTTGGAAATTAAAAAGCCAATGGTTATTACCACAACAGGAAGGATTTCTCAGCCMTATATATAAAATTTTAAGGAAAAGCACAGATGAGGTAAAGCACTCCTAAACASTTCTTGTGTTTGTTGAATGCCTGAAAGGAGATAATATTATCAATAAAGAGGTAATTGTATTAATATTTTACAATGTTCCCAYACACCCAGCAGTAAGAAATGGTGATAACAATGATAAAGTAACAGCAAGTAACGATGAAATTTTATTGTGTTCTATATTCACAGAGCAAGAAGAATACCAAACTCTGTCCCAGAGGAATGGAACTTGATCAGGGTTTATTTAAGACAGTTTAAAATGAGAAGTAAGATAAACGTATTGGATTTGACCATGATTTTTTTCAAATTTAAATTTTCTAACATAAAGAGGCYAAAAATTCTAAATTAAAATGGTCATCACCATTACAAATGGAAACATAATCTTTGTGTAACAAATGAAATGGAATACACTGCTGATAGGGTAGGAGAAAAAATGCCATTTACAGGGAAAATGTCCTTTCTTTGGCATGACTGAAGAATTAGGGTGAGAGTCAATACCCTGGCTGGATTGAATGCAGTTTGGCTTTTCCTGTGAGGCTGCTGGTGAATCCAAAATCAGATGGAAATTTTGGCAGCCCTGAGCTCTCAGCCCTTGGGTCCTCCCTATGTTCTCTGTCCAGTTGTCTCCTGCACTTTGCATGACTGTTGTTTCCTTTTCCTTCCAAATGCACAGACCAAAGTTCATGGATTATTTTAGCCCTGAAATAACATTTCCCTGTTTACACTCAGTACTAACCCTGTTTATGTAACCTAGAATTGTCTTTCCTCCCACTGTTAAATTTGTGTTTGTTGCAACTGTTCTGTGGGTTGTTGCAACAGATGGGTGGGAGAAGCCATGAATATCATTTGCTTGGCTATGGCACAGGATTGWATCTAGATCAAAAGTGTTTTGGAAAAGCATGAACTTCTCTTTCAAAAAACAACTTTCAGCATAGAATGCCAAACAGAAACTTAAATCAGTGAACTGCTTTTATAAGGATATGCTTTGATTGGGTACAGAGTTTTTCCCTGTGAGAGGAGGAAAGACTCCTTAATTTTTATATGAATTTTTGTGTTTCAGCTGAAGTGAGGTGACAGTCACTGTACCAGTAGAAGACTCGCTGGATTTGACAGGAAAACAGTGCACTGAGCCAAGCATAGCCAGGAAATGAAGATTGGTCTCAACCAACAAAATAACCCTTGTGCCATTAAAAGACTGATGGTCCAATTCAGAACTACCTTCTTTTAAAACTGGTTTCTAGACAGTTTAATAACATAGGGTTTATTATTGTTGAATGCCAAAAATTTATATCAAAAATGTCCTAAAGGCAAGAGTTAAAAAAATAGAAAAACTTCCAGTGCAGTTCCCCTCATACAGAGCTGGAACTCCATTGTGCCTGAGTCACATGGAAAAGCCATGTTTGTTCATGTAAATGAAAATCTGCWATGGAATTCTCACACTAGGCATGCCAAGTCCCAAAATTAACAGGGAACCAAGCATAAGGAAAAGTAGTGACATATATGAATGTGGAGAAGCATGGAGAGCACAGGAGATGGAGTGGGTGGTTAAGATACAGTGTGGAGGTCACTGAGGATTTTCCTTTTTTTTATTTTTTAAAGACTAAAAGTGCTTTGACTAAAGTGGACCCTCAGCCTGCCAGCAGTGATAGAAGTGCTGATATGACAGAGAATGACTCTTCTAAAGGACAAGGAAGAAATTGGAATTTTACTTCAAAGGACAGCTGAGCATTGTGCCAACAGACCTGCATGACTTATGCCAAAGAATCWTAAGAGAGTTGGCATAAATGCTCCCCCCATCATCAGTGATTTTATAAAGTTGTGATACAGGGAATATTCTGAGGGCAGAAAGATGACAGATAATTTTCCAGTGCTTTAAAAAGCTTTGCTCACAGACTTGTCAGCCTGGTTTTGGGTAGAACAATTACCATTAACTGGTCCACTTTGTAAACATGGCTCAGAAGAAACACGCTTTTTAGTGGAAGTTAAAGAATACTGGATGATAAACCTGGCTAAGTGAAATAAATTTAATTTTAAAATAATCTTTGGGTTATTGTGATAGCACAGTTATGTTATTTGGGGGATGGTTGATAGAAACCACTCCATCATTTCTCCCTTTCCAGTGTTTTTTTGGGAACAATTCTCTGCTGAGCAAAGAGAATGGGATTTCCTTGGGACTGGAAAGCAGCAGAACAGAGATAAGTCTGTTCCCCAGTGGCATGCAGGATATGTCCGTGGGGAATCCTGCCTCCTGTGCTCCAAACTCTGCCAAGGATTTCACATCAAGATACCACAGGGTAAAATCAACCACCATACTCATGCTCATGCTTTGGAGATCTCAGAGGGATGTAATAATTTCCCTAGAGAGCATTGAAAAGTTTTATTCTATTAATAAATTGATTTCAGCTGAGCTGCTCTGTCCTTTCTTCTTCTCTGCAAAATTCTTTCCAATACTGAAGTGACTGTAGTGAAATGAAGAGTGTGTATTTCTGATGCAAAACACTGTTTTGCACTATTCATCTAAGCTGKTTTTTTCCCTTATACATTTTCTTTTTTTCTTCTTCTGCTGGGAATTTTAGGAGCAGATGTTTCCTTGCCACCACCTCAGAATATCTCCATTATTTCAACCAACATGAAGCACTTCCTAACTTGGAGTCCTGTGATCGTCCAGGGAGCAACTGTGAGATACTCAGTTGAGTTTCAGGGGTAACTTCTGGATTTTTTTTATTCTTTTTGCTCTTTGAACATGGTTTATTTCAATTTAAAGTCCTATATTTTTGGATGTTTTTAGCGTATTCAGTTCACAAGCCTAAGAGAAGTTTGATGCTTTAGTACTGTTAATTAAAAGTTGGGAAAAAATTCTTTTTGGTCCAATTCTGGGGCAGTTTTCAGGTTAATAGATACCTTAGTAATCCAAGGCGTGCATCAATTCCATATAAGAAATCTGCCTCTATCCAAGAACTCAAAAATTAGGAAGATTTGCAACAGTTTGTTTAGAACAGAAAGGAGAAAACATTTGAGATTTATTTCATGTGAGCCTTTTAAACATTTAACACACACCGCAGGAGGTTTCTGTATGACTTGGATTACAACATGGTTTTGGAATTCTGGTGTCCCAGGGATGATCAGGACACAGGGGTGGGCAGGACCTGGAGCATCAGCACGGCGTGGGCTGTCCCCTCCTGCCACAATCTCCATTTGGCTCAGGAGCTCATCCCGGAGCGATTTTCTCCAGATCAGATCCCAACACACCCAGTCTGGTTTCACACACCTGTGGTGTTCCTGCCCCAGTGCTTCCCAGTACAGGTTTTACCTGGAGAGGACTCCCAAGCAGCCTTACCTGTCCCAGACATCTCCTGGCTGACTGCTGCCCATCTCTTGCTCCCCTGTGCAGGGAATACGAACGGGAATACGCCAACGAGAGCTGGATCCCTGTCTCGGAGTGCTCCCTCACCACGGCCACCGTGTGCAACCTCACCGAGGACATCTCGGCCACTGTGGCCTACAGGCTGCGGGTCAGGGCACAGCTGGGTGCCACCAGCTCACCATGGGGCACCCTGAAAGGCTTCTTCAATCGTGCCACGAGTGAGTCYTGCTCTTCAATTACACTTTCAGTGTTAAATTCTCAGTGTTTGGTGCCCACTTGTGYCCAGTGCATGGCACACAGAGCCCATGTTTGCACAGAGCTCACTCTATTTCTCAGCTCCTCAAACACTGGGATGGGATGTTTCACCCTTAGCCATGCTAAGGACATGGTTTGGGACATGTTCTTGGGCATGAGGCAGAGACAAATATACCATGTCTTGAATTTCAAGCATTTCAAAGATAGGCAGCGAGACTCAAAGCATTTTTTTGGGCAAGTTGCTAATTCCTAACCCTAAATTTGCTGTCCTCTAATCCAAGTCATGTAGTCACTTCTAAGGGTCCAGGACTTGATCCTACAGGATATTTCACTCGAGGAAAGGGCCCTGTCACCCTCTATCTGCCTTGTGCAGTCCTGGAAATCCCACTCCCTCCTGGCCATGGTTCCCTCCTCCCATGGTGTCACTTAGATGAAGCAGCCTCAGAAGAGGAGAGAAAAATGGGAACCACAGCATTGCTGTCATCCTGGCAATGCAGGGTGTTTTCTCCATGTCCTTCCAGCTCYTGCAAAGCCTCAGGCCCAGCTCAACCCAAGGATCACACTGCAGCCTAAAATCAGCACAGTATTTCCAGGATTTCTCTGGTATCATCACGTCTGCTCTCTGCCATACCACCAAGTGTTTTCAGCAACAAAAACTGTGTGGGAAATCTCTGCTGARGCCACAATTAGACTGCAGCTCTCAGTCTGGGATGGGCAGCATCCATCAGTTTTAGCCAGGGAAGGAATTGTCTGTCCTAGACCAGAACCAGCCTGATATTAAACATTTATCAGTCTGTGGGAGTTATTCACTGCTTCCTGAGGGAGCAGTCCTCACTCACACAGAGCCCTTAGTCAAAGCAGCACCACCAGAAGTGCCACCTGAGTTGGTGAATGTRTCTCTTGATGTGGAAGTATATTCTCTATGGTGCTTTAGATAAAAACTCCTTCCCTTTTCTGGCAGCTGTGGAGGCACAGAGCTCAGGCACAGACCACACTATCAGTCAGAGACAGGTCAAGGACATTCCTGAGACTGACATGAACAAAAGCAGCAGATTTCTTGTGGTTCAGTGAAGTATTTGGCAGCTTGGTCCTGTGTCTTAGGGACTCCTCTGACCAAGCTGTGTAAGTTCAGAGGATGCAGCTTCCAYTGGGATTCAATGTGGATATGACAGATGTTTAAAAGAGAAAGAAAAGTCACTGTAAGTTCTTGATTTATGCATTTTTACTGCTTGCTTTGCCTTGTCCCTGCTTTCAAATCTCATAGGAAGCCTGGAATTGAGTCTGAGAGGATCTCAGGAATTCAAATGTTAATACATTAGCACAATATTTGCTTCTAGCCTCCAAATGATATCACTTTAAAAAAATGAGATCTAGTGCTGAGAAGATATTCACCTTTTATTTTTTTCAGCTTTTAATKTAAAAATCCAAAGTAGATTTGCAGRCCTCCCACTTGTGGCACACTCATCATGCACATGCTTGGATTTCATGTTTTAATAGTGCTCAGTATTAGTGGCAATTCACTGGGTGTAAGAGCAAATTCTATGAAGAATATGTCTTCTGTAAGGCACTGTGCAACACTCTCCTTCCTTTCTTGGAAGCAAAGAGGTTGGAACTGGTTTCAGCTACAGCAGAATGGTAAATAATGGCAGAGATGAGTGTGAATAATGGCACAGATAAATAGTGAATGGCACAGATAAATAGTGCAGATGTGATCTCTGTACTGCCTTGAACTTCCCAGTTCATAAATGTTCAGTGTACAGTTTCATCTCTGCTTGATTGATTCCCATTATTTCACTAATATTCCTCACAGCAAAATCCCAGACAAAAYCAAGCTCTGAATATCAAAGTGAGCAGGAAGCAAATCGCCTCCAGATTTACTGGCATACATTTGCAAAACCTGAAGTCACAGCATATCATCRGCCCAAGTCCATCTAAAACCATGCAGATACTGAAAGAAAATCAGGATTCATGTGAATTATCCCGAGGCTCAGAATGTTTCATCCTTTACCTTTGAATGACTGCCATAATTCCCATGAAAAGCAGTGGTTTCTCAGCTCCTGCTCTGTGTCAGAGCTGAGCTCATGCCCAGGAGCACAGGAGCTGACCTGAGCTGGTGGCCCAGCTCCTGTGTCCCAGCTGCTTCTGCTGCAGCTGCTCACGTGGCACCCTCAGGCCAGACAGCTCCTCCACTGGAGAAAATTCAACCCTTTCAAGTTCTGTGCAGCTCAGCTCTTGCCAAAGTTCAGTTTGCAGTGCCAGCCATGGCCCTTCTGCTGCTRAAATTCTGCCACTGTATTCAGACACACAGGGAGGGAGGGCAGAGCAGAGCTGCTGCCCCACTGAAGCAACCAGCTTCAGTTATTGTTCTGTGATTAGAACAGAATAATAATCTGAATGAYCTGTTACTGCAAATAATGTCACTCYACTTGTGATGGCAGCTTCTCTTCCTCTCCTGTCTGGGGAGAAGGGGGGATCTAGGGGTTGGTAACGTGCTCTGTCTGTGTTGGCAGCTTCCCTGACCCCACCCCTGCTGAAGGTCATGGCAGATGGGTACCATCTCCTGGTGGAGCTGGCAGACATGGGACCTGCCTTCCAGTTCYGGCTGCTCTACTGGAGGAAGGGCCAGGAGAGCAGGGTGAGTWTTACCCCTGGGGTTTTGGGCAGTAACAGAGAGTCCCCAAAAGCACCCAGACTTTGCCCAGGGCCTGTTGCCAGTCCCAGGTCCTGCTGTGGGGCTGGAGGACCTGCCTGCAGTGAGTTTGTGCCACCTTACCCTACATGTACCAGTGGGCTGCTCTTACCCTTATGGCGAAGCKTCTTTGTTCTTTCCACATTTCCTTCGCTGGGCACAGGAGAGGAACCTTCCAGTCACCTCAACTACAGATACATATCAGAAGTCAGGAACCAGAGGACTTTCCTCTCTGAGCATCATCTGGTTTACTCAGACCACAATTAAGATGCAAACTTTTCTCAGTTTTCTGAGCCAAAAATTGTAACATTAGTAGTCCTTGATGGATTTTTGTTCCATTAATTTATCTGTGCTGRTTTTCCATCTATGTTAACTTCTATCATGTATACCTTCTTGCAATGAGGAATTCTGCAGCTTAATTKTTGTGCAGGCTTGATTTGGGGATGAGAGAGAATGGTTATTCCCCATTCCCTTTCCCTACCACTCTATTGGTTTTATATTCTGTGTCTTTTTTCCAGGCCAAGGGCTCCCAGGCTACTTTGCTGCTCCCTGTGGAAGCCCTCACAGCTATTTTTGTCTTTACCAGGGTGGGMAGGGAGYAAACCTGCACAGCCCAAAGTGCAGGAACACTTTCTGTCAGCACCACAAAACAAAGTCTTCCCACTGCCTTGTCTCTCCAGCAGCAGTAAATGTGACTGGCTCAGAGCTGATTATCCCATGGAACCTCAAGCCCAAGTTCCTGCTTCTAATTGGGGATGCTGTGAAAATRCAGGAGAAAAATTGTCAAAAGTGTAATTTCACATTTAACTGTGTTGAATTGCATTTGTCACTTTATTACAAGATCCTCCTGCTGTTCTTCACAGCTCTCTGTCATCTTCACTACTGAGAAGTGGGTTTTTAGTATCACTAGCAGGTATCAGTTTTCATTTTCCTTCCTGATCACCTCTAGTAATACCTGAGCCCTCACCATGCCCTCCTGCTACTCTGAATTAACAATTTATCCATCCAAAATACTTTAGTCTATAAGGAGGCATCAGGAGCAGGACTGCTCACTGTGAAATCCAAATAAATGAGATCAACCTTGACCACGAGCCCTCTGACACCATAAAAAAATCAATAGATTTGTATCTGATTGCCTTTTATGAATAAAATATTAACTCTCCTTCAGTATGTGATCCTAATCACCTAAACATTAATTCCAAATTTCAGAGTTCTTTCTACCCACTGAACTGGTAGAAGCATCAGCTTTGCTGATCAATACAAGCCCTATGCTGGGACTCCTATTATTTTTTTTAAGTAATTGTTATATTTGGCATGTCTCATTTGACATTTGTGCAAGTGGTCAACCCAGGTGGTAGTAGACCTGATTTTGCCCTTGAAATCTTTTCAGAATAATGGCCTTCAAGATCATTTCAGTGGAGAAGGATATTTTGATGAAGGGAAGGACTTGCCCCGCCAGAAGAGCTCTCCTGGCTTGCAGGAGGTGTCCATCTGTGTGTGGAGCTGGAGGCTGGTCAGGCCTTCTGTGAGCTTCTGAGGCTTTGCATCTGTGGCACAGAGAGAGGAGCAGCTGCGTGGCTGTTACCTGTGCTCTGATGGCTGGGGAGCTGGAAACAGCAAATTCACTTTGCTGGCAGTGAATTCAGAGCTGTTAGTGGCAGTGAAATAACGAACTGGTGTTCATTTGTTGTGTGAGCCTTGCTGGAGTGTGTCAAGGTCACACACACCAAATCCACTCAGCTCTCACCAGCCCAGTCCAGCCCCGCTCTGAGCTCTGAGGCACAGCCCCAGGGAGCTCAGAGAGGGCTCTCTCACACCTCTGTCACAGCATGGGCCTGCCACTGCCATCATTTTGGCATCCATCATACCCAGAAAACAGCTCAGACCAGTTGAGACCTCAGCCATCCCCTCCTACCASGGARTAGGCTCTGGTCGTGTGTTGTGGCCCAACACCATCATTGTGACTTTGGCTTCCAGCTTCTTCCTTCATCCTTCCTGCCCCTCCAGACATGTGTGGGCTCATCCTGCACTCTACTGAGCTTTTGTCCCTCTCTTGTCCCCCTGACCCAGCCTTCCCTGACACCTTCTGCTGCCCTCTCTTCTCCTCTCCTCTCCTCTCCTCTCTGGGCGAGCACCACAGCAGGGCCTCCACTCACTGTGGGATCCTTGCCCTGATGGCTCCT